CCCCATAGAACATTTAATTCTCAGGCATTTTATTCTTTTCAAAGAAAGATTAAAGATAAAGATAAAAATGTTGCCTTCAAAGTGAATAAGTAATTAAATAAGGAAGCCAGGTAATGGCAGGTGCAGAAAACAGCAACGTCCAAAATACATTGTACCATCCAAAATACATCAGAAACTCACGCAAATGAGCAAATTCTGTGAGATTCTGCTTTTTATACTGGATTCCATTTTGTGTCAAATCCGTGATTTCCGCAATTGCTATTTTTACTTATTTTTTTGAGCGCCTGGGAAATTTTTCCTCATACCCCCGTAATATGCTCGCGTATCTCAAGGGGTACTTGTACCCCTGGTTGGGAATCACTGTGCTACAGTTTGTCCTGCTGGAGTGTGATGTGATTTGTGTCACACAGGTGTGATGGAGTGAGTTCAGTCCAATAGGATGTCAGAATGGTTTATATTTACACTTCTCATCAACCACAATCAAATCCACTCTATCCATGGGCTCCATGTGTCTGGATAGATTTATATTTATTAATTTTTTTCTGAACAATGAAAAGATGGAATAAAAACAAGTCAAAGTTAAATAGAAATGAAATACTTTTTGAATTTTTAAAAAGTAAGGAGTAGAAAGTACAGATAATTGAATTAAAATGTAAGTAGAAGTAAAAAGTTGGCTGAAAAATAATTACTCCACTAAAGTATAAATAACCTAAATTACTACTTAAGTAAAGTAACAAAGTATTTGTACTTAGTTACTTGACACCTCTGGTGCCTGTATATCTCCATCTGATTGCAATCAGGCAGCTAAAGACAGAATTTACCAACAAATGATTCACAATCAGATCAACAAAAGACTGAGATCACCAAAGAGACCGCAGCTAGATCTGAGTTCTCTAAAACCCTCTTTCTGTTCCTGACCAGGTGGGCTCCACAGCAGTTCAGGTGACCTCAGCCGAGCGGACACGTGTTCTTGGCCAACCGGTCTTTCTGAATGATGTGTACTACGCCTCAGAGATTGAGGAGATTTGTCTGGTGGATGAAAGTCAGTTCACCCTCACCATGGCCAATCAGGGCACTCCTCTCACCTTCATGCACCAGGAGTGTGACGCTATTGTCCAGTCCATCATTCATATCAGAACACGCTGGGAGTTATCTCAGCCCGACTCCATCCCACAGCACACCAAAATCCGTCCCAAAGATGTCCCAGGGACCCTCCTGAACATCGCCCTGCTCAACCTGGGGAGTTCTGACCCCAGCCTCAGGTCAGTAACACACACAAGCTGACCAGCTTTATCAAAAAGAGGTGAAGTCGTTAAAGGAAACCGGTCCGGTCCATGTGATCCTAGTACCATCGCAGTAAGATTTGACACCATTAACTGTACCTGTTCTCTCTGCCACGCCCAGGTCTGCAGCTTACAACCTGCTGTGTGCTCTGACGTGCACTTTTAACCTGAAGATTGAGGGCCAACTGCTGGAGACCTCAGGTCTCTGCATCCCAGCCAACAACACCCTTTTCATCGTCTCCATCAGCAAAACTCTGGCAGCCAATGAGCCGCACCTGACTCTGGAGTTCCTGGAGGAGTGTATATCTGGCTTCAGCAAGTCCAGTATGTCTGCCACACTCACACACACACACACACACACACACACACACACACACACACACACACACAAAGGTTGGGTTTATATATCCCCGTGGGGACAGTGCATTGACTTCCACTCATTTTGTTGGAAGTTTTAAATCCTAACCCTGACCATTTACCCTAAAATTAACCTCACAGGTACCTGCCTGACCCTTAAAACTAACCTAAACTCAATTCACACCTTGGTCCTAAACCCAACCCCCCCACCCGAAATTTGCATTTGGACCCGTGGGAACCGGGCATTGGTCCCCACGATGCACATTCTGTCCCAATGAGGCTGCTTTTTTGGAAAAAATGTCCCCATGATGAAAGAAAAACCAGGCCACACACAGACACTGAACATGATACATGTCTTCCACTCCTCAACCTGTCAATGATGCTTTACTGGTGGGATCTTCTTGCTGCTTAAAACTTTCCTGCTCACTTCAGCCATGAAATACAAAGGACATCCCAGTTAGGGATGGGTACCTTTGATATTTGAATCGATTCAGTACCAATCTCCAGTACCTGGGAATCGGTACCAGTACTCAACTGTACCAATTTGTGTGTGTTTTTTTTATTAATAAACTTTTTTTTATTTTATTTAACACATTTATTTCTCAATATATAAAATTTAACAAATATCAAGACAACATCCAACTCTTTGT